TATACCTTTAATTTGTCCTTTTCCAACAGGAAATTTTGTTTACCAAGCGAGGTCTGATACATAATACATAGATACCAATGACATAACAACAAGAATAAACAACTTTAATAACAGCAAACATTTAAAGCCACAATTTTATACTTCTCAGGGATCAATCTTCATGTTTTGTCTCTGCTTGTGTTGTGTTTTTTTCAAGGCTGGATCTTCTGTCTCAGGTTTTTTCTGAGGGTCCTCCAAGACTGTGGAGTTTCAGGTCTGGGGAAGATGTCAACTGCTGTTTGCTTCTGGGACAAGTATTTCCACAAAGTCCAACCTCAGGGTAGGATTTGGTTTTCAGATGTGGACCCCAACACCACAGAGGCCAAACCCCACACTGTAAAAAAAAAGGGCCCAAAAAACTTTTATTTTTTTTGGCTAAATTAAGGTATTTCAAATAGTTAAGGAAACTATAAAATAAAGGTTTATTCAAACGGTTTTAACGCAAAAAAACTTAAAGGTCAAGGTTCCAGCAAACCCCAAGCGATTTGGTTGCGTCAAAATACAAGTTAAAGGGTGAGTTAGTACCACTTATAATTCCTTTTTGAGTTGCGATTCAGAACAAGTTGGGTGGAAAAGTTTCATGATAACTTTTTGTTTTCCTTGTTGGTAAATGCGGGGAAAGGCCAACTTTTTGGGAGTTTTGGACTCGTCCCACTTCTGTCTGGCTGCCTCTCCTGTTCTGGGCTGGTTCCATCGGGAGCTTGGGAGTTTTTGGGACTCCCCACTCAGGTAAGGTTTTAACCTTTAAAGTTTAAAATAAATGTTTTTCTGGACTTTTTAATTTCCAATGGGTTTATATTGTGTTAGCATTATCATTGTTCAACAGTAATAACTTAAACCTGAAATAACTTTAAATTAGTGACACTTATGCAGATAAAAAGCTGATGCTAGCGACTTAAGCTTGTATTAACTGTAACGGAAAATAAGTGTTCAGAAAATTTCATACTTCAGGGTAATATTTGGTGTTGACAAATCAAATGGATAAGATTAGCAGTTATCAAGTGGCTATTCAAAACAATGGTAAACATTTAAATTACAGAATAGTTTTTTAATTAGCGGGACCGCTAGCAGGCTAGCTAATGCTAGTTGCCTTAAGCTTGTGCTAGGTGATTGGCTTTGGTCTGGGCAATAACCCTCAAAAAACGGGCCATGTGGTTTTTTCGACTGCTTTAGTCTGGGAAATGATGGAAGTTCAGCCAGCGTTGGATTTTGATCACGTAGGCAACCGTTTCCGAGGGGGGCCTTGTGTATTAATTGTTTACTTTAAACATGGGATTGCTTCAACATTTTTAGCCTAATTAATTTGAGCTAATGTTACTTATGTGGTGAATATTTGTTATGGTAGTTTACAGCCACTTTCATCAACAAGGGGTATTAACAGGTTCCCCTTTAAAAGGCCCCCATTCAAGCTTTTTTCCAACCAAGCGCCACACTAAATAACCGGGGAAATGGGATACTAAGTTTTTCAAAATGGGTTAATTGGTTAAATTTATGGTCCGGCCCTCTTCCCCTCTTCTTCCTCTCTCCCTTTTGCCTTCTCCTTCTCTCCCTCCGTTTCTGGTGGTGAACTGAGGGCGGGGGGGCTCAAGCCGGCCTCCACCACACACCACACGGAGCAGGCCGCGGTACGAGACGGTAAACAAGGGTGAAGCTGAAATTGTAACGTTTTTAGGTGACGTGATTTGGCGGAACAATTTTGATGTTAGTTATTGGTTATTGTACAAACAAAAAGCTTTAATGGAGTAACAAGCGCCAGTCACCTGTAAGGTTTTATCAAACCACCTTTGTTCAAAACATGCCATAAGACGTGTAGGAAAGCGTTTATTTTTCAGTTTAGCCAGCCCAGCGTTCCCGTTTTACTTGGCTTGATGTTTGTTTATACACAAAACAACGGGGGGCAATTTAGCTTTTAGTTAAAAGCACAAAATTTGTTTTATAAAGGTAACGTAAAACCCAAAGGGCTGTTCTGGCATGTATCTTGTGTATCTTTAGTTTAGCCCAACATATGTCAAAATTCAAAAGACATAAGGAGCTGAGAGAAGTTTCCAATTTTGTCTTCCTTTAAATGTCTAGCTTAACAATGTTATTTTTGTGATTACTTTTTTCATGGTTGCCACATTTGGGAAAATATGAAAGGATTAACTTTAGGACACAGCCACCAAATTTTGTTTTGCTTTTTCTTAATTTAAGTGTGTTTAAAAGTTTGTACTTACATTCTACCAACCTTGGTTGTTTTTGGTAATTTAGCCTCAAAGATTTTTGGTGGAAAATTCTGTTTTAAGTCAAAATAATAATTTCCAACAGAGGGAGGCAAACTGGCCGTGTGCATGCCATACAAGACTTGCTTGTTTTGCAATTTCAGAAACTATTCGGGAAGGCATCTTGAAATTTTCACAAATTCTTTCGGAATTACCACAAGGACTTGTCCTCCAAGGGCAAGAAATTCAAGCATTTCCAGTGGCTGGTTGTGTGATTCAAAGACATTTTGCTTGTGGTAAAAAAAAAAGAAAAAAAAATCTTAATACATTTTGCAGGCATCACCTTTAAGACGCAAGAAGAAAGCAGTGCGTTTGGGGGCCCCATTCTTTGGGTTGCAAGTTTTTGGGAAAACCAAACCGCCTAAACAGGGCTTTTCGGAGTCACATTATAAGCATAAAAAACATACGTTAAGAGATTTTCGGTCATTAGTCAGGGGAATAAGTGGTGTTCAGTCTAATACCACTGACCAACCAAGTAATGATGGAGCTGAAACTGAATTTTCATTGACCAATAGTCCTAGTTTGGACACTACAGAAATAGGTGAAGCTGATTGTGTAGAGGATGTGGATTCTGAAATACTCAAGCACAAACTAGCATCTCTTTTTCTTCGTATGCAATGTATGTTACATGTGTCTAAACGTGCTATACAGGAAATTATAGAAGAATTTAATGATATTTTGTCCTTTTCCAAGTTTCATACCTCAGCAGTTATCAAAGAGGTTTTTGCAAAACATAACATTGCAATTGAGGAAGAAGTTGTTAAAGAAATAAGTAACGCTGTGTTTCAAACAAATCCAATACTTATTACTACATCAGAAAAAGGTACATTATCAACTGATTATAGGAGAAATAGATATTTCAGGGAGCATTTCTCTATTATTGAGCCAACTGAGTTGCTGTATGACAGGACTTCAAAAAAAGCCTTTGTTTATGTTTCTGTGAGTAAGGTTATTGAGCTTTTACTGAATAGAGCAGAGTTTCTGGAGAAGCTTGTTTTCAATGCAGAGAATGCTCCAGGACATTATAAGTCTTTTTAAGATGGTCATTATTTCAAACAAAATCTTTTTTTTGGAGAACAAGAGCTGCAAATTGCATTAGGTCTTTATATAGATGATTTTGAATTGTGTAACCCATTAGGCACATCAAAGAAAACTCATAAGATTACTGCAGTTTATTGGGTCATTCTTAATCTACCTTCAAAATTCCGTTCAAGTTTACATTCAATTCATCTAGCTCTCCTTGGAAAGACTTCTGATGTTAAGCAGTTTGGCTATGAAAAGTTTTTAAGTCCACTAGTTAAGGATTTAAAGTCACTGGAAGAAGCAGGGGTTTTTGTTCAAGCTCTTGATAACTATGTAAAAGGTACGGTCTTTTGTGTCTGTGCTGATAATTTAGGAGCTCATGGACTGGCAGGCTTTCAGGAGAGTTTCAATGTAAGCCACTTCTGTAGATTTTGTTTGACAAGTCGAGGTGAAATAGCAACCACTAGAATTTCTGATTTCCAGCTACGGTCCAAAGAACAGCACAATACATTTCTGGTGCAACTTTATAATGAGAATGTTCAACATGTAAATGGTGTTAAAAGTGAATATGTACTAAGTAAGCATCTGTCATATTTTCACCCTGTCACTGGTTTTCCTCCAGACATATTGCATGACTTTTTGGAAGGTGTTATTCCAGTAGAACTGTCTTTGTGCCTAAAGAAGTTGATTTCAAAAGGCTTTCTTACTTTGGAGAGACTGAATACAATAATAGCATCTTTTCCATACAAATACTCTGACAGGGTGAATAAACCAAAGGCAATTTCTAAAGCAGCTTTTGAAAAGGGCAGTATAGGTGGCAATGGCCATGAAAATTGGACTCTGTTAAGATTTCTCCCCCTTTTTATTGGAAAGAGCATACCAGAACAAGAACCTGCATGGGAGATACTGATGGACCTCAAAGAAATTGTTGAGATAATTGTCTCACCTTATTTTTCAGACGAAATATTGTACTACTTGGAGACCAAGTTGTCTGATCACAGAAGGCTGCTCACAGACACTTTTCCTGATTTTATCTTGCACTCAAAGCACCACTTTGCTGAACATTGTCCTCACCTTCTACACTGCTTCGGTCCATTGGTGGAACTATGGACAATGAGGTTCGAGTCGAAACATAGTTTTTTCAAGAAGACTGTGCATGATGTTCAGAACTTTAAAAATGTGCTTCTCACACTGTCCACCAAACACCAGGAGATGATGGCATGTCAGTTTGATAACCAAAGTCTTTTCAAGCCAATGTTACATGTTGAGAAAGTAACTGATATCAAAACACCTTATTTGGATCCTGTCCTGCGCACAGCGATTAAGAGAGTAAGTATCCAGATCTTGAAACTGTGATCTTGAAACTGTGTCCCTTTCTAAAGACATTTATTTGCATGGGACCCGATATGCAGAGGGTATGATTATATATGCTGGACACTGCAGTGGACAGTAGTCAACCCTGAAAAAGTGGCCTTTGTTGGCAAAAAGCTCACATCTTGGTACCTTGAACATTATAGGTCTTTTGAGCTCGTGGAGAACGTCTATGCAGACACTGAGATTTTTGATCCCGAGGCTCTCAACAACCATCATCCTTTGACTGCATACACAGTGGGAGGGAAGGTGGTGGTGACTCCAAAAGTGTGTCTGCTCCATTGAAGAGACGCAGAATGGTAAGTAAACTGTAATTACATATCATTAAAAAATTCTGTTGCTGTCACTCTCATTTTCACATTGTCTCATTTTCAAGTGCTGACATTTATTGCCCTTCCATATAGATCGTGTCAGATCATTCTCAGTATTAATGCTTGCACACAGGAGGATTCACTCCACAAAAGTATTTTTCAATGCACACAAAATAATAACACTAATGTATTTCAGATGTATGTACACATATTTCTTGTTTTAAATAAATCTAATATAAATCAACAAATATTTATTTATTTGCCATTTCCATCTAACATGGAAACATGGATGTTACATTTCTGTACTAACCTGCATTTACAATCTGCTTGTCATGTGTGAAATTCACTCCATTTCTGCGGGTTTTTGAGACTTTCCTGTCATGGCTCAATTTCACAAAGGCATTTAAAAAAAAAAAGGAATTATCTGTAGTCAGTCAATATGTTAACATTTAATTCTCTTCTATGGATTCAGATTTGTCTCATAAGATGGCTCCCTCCATTTCAGATGATCACATAAGTGTAAATTTGAGGGTGTGCTTTATGTCATGTGATCACATAGCATTGCATCTAAATGCAGGTCAATCTCAATATGGAGTCTGGTAGCTGCTGTCCACACATGTAAGTTATAACAATCCAGTCATGCATGATTGAATGTTAAATATGTTTCAATGAAAGCTGTCTAGGTTAGATAACTAGCAGGCAAATGGATGATCCTTGGTCGTCTATAAGCTATCTTGTTACCTAACGCTAGTGTTAAATGCCACATCATTAACTTAGCAAGTATTCGTAACTCAAACATATTTAATCATGCATGGCAGGAGAATTATCACTTATCTGTGTGAAAGACTAAGGTTGTAGGTTGTGGTAATAACATTTTACATCTGACATATGTCTATGGATGAAAGGCTAAGTAATGCATTAGTGAAATCGAGCCACAGCAGGAATGTCTCACAAAGCCTGCACACAAATGCAATGAAGTTTGTATGTAAAGTAGCTTCACACTACAATTTGAAGAACCAGACTTTAATAACACTGTCTGTAATTTGATTGATATCCACGAGTTGCCACCTGAACGTGCCATCTTGCACATTCTTTGGGATGATCCACCTACACTTGCTCATCAAGAGTCAGACTCTGTTGATTCAGGGTCTTCCCTGGACACAGCCAGATTATCCAGTAGAGAGTCAGCCCAGAGTCCTTCAGATTTCATCAGCGACTACCTGCCAAGTGTATCCGGATGGCCTTCACCTTTTCCCAAATCCAGCCTTCTCCTATGATGTGGAATTAAAGTTGCGTGCAGGCAATGAGGCATATGAAAAGACCAAGAAAGGCATCAACCTAACAAGAGACATGAAGATGGACATTTTGGACAGGATTGCTCAAGCAGTTTTTGAAGTGAAAGCCTATCCTGATCAAGACCAGATTGGGTCAGTTGCTTTGGCTCTTGTCAGTAAGCACCCCTGCCGTCGAGAACCGGGCAGTGGAACAGGGTATGATGGATTGAAAATGAGCATAAAATACAAACTTGGTAATTACAGGTCCAAGCTACGTCAGGCAGGGTGTATCGAGGTCAGCATTAATAGGAAAAGACGATGCGATGAAGATGATGCTGCAGGTTCTTCTTTGAAGAAAGCAAAGCGAGGGGAAATTAATCATGTCCCTGACCATCCAAATAATCACACTGAAGACTCGCTGGAGGAGGAAAGACTGGCTCTGGTTGAGGAATATATGAAGAGGAATAAGAATGTTGAACTCTTACAGCAAAAGATGGCGCTGACTTTCTCCCTGAGGCGCAAGGAGATTGTGGAGCTAGAGCCTATGGTGTCAGAGGTTCAGGGGCGGTGGCCTGCTCTGTTTTGTGAGGAAGAGGTAAGAAGCTGAGCAAAGAATATATCATAAATGTGTTTCTTTTCAAAATAAGAGTCTCGAGTTACTTCTGTATATAAAATGCATATTTTTATATTAGGATGGTGTTGGAATTGTATGACTTTGTATTGAAGATTTATATTTGCTATTCTAAATTTTTCAACAGATCAGTGAAGAGTTCCATCGGATCACCAACAAGAACCTAATAGACAACTTCAGAGCAGCCATTAATCAGCACACTCCAAGGCTCCTTAGACTCTATCGGGCTAGGAGAACAGCTTTTCCACCTGAGATGGATCAACTCCTTGACCGACTGGATGAGGAGGTGAATTTTTGACGTAATGATCTTAATTATATTCTGGAAATTATGAACGTAAATGCATAACAAGGAATTCTTGGATTTTATATATTTTTTTTATACATATAAAACTGAACTAATCATTTTTTAAATAAACAATGGATCCAATATCAGATGTTGCTCATAGTGACAAACCCTCAGAATAAACCCACTGTACACTACCTAAGGGACAGACAAAGATAGTGACTAGGCGGTCATTTTTATTTAAGGAGTTTGTGAAGACCAAACAAAGGATTTAACAGGTGTTTGTTGGATGTGGAAGAATAAAGTTTTTTGCATATTTGCTCTGAGCTTTCTACTGATAGTTACATAATGTCATAATGTTTCTTCCAGCACTGTGTTTTAGACATCTAACATCACAGCACATCGACAGACTGCAGCCTTGAAGGGCCTTCCCTTGTATCTCTGTGACAGTCATGAGAAGCTGTTCAGGAACTGTCCTGTGAGTGACTTGTTTGTAGAAACTGAAAATATATACAGTGTGAGAAATAGACTCCTAAGATGTTATTAATGCTGTACTTGACTCTGATTTCAACCTTTACCTTTCTGCCCTTTTGTGCCATTCTTGACTGTTTTTCTATTTTCTAATTTTTTGCATTCTTTGTCTGCCCCAGTTGTTGTATTTTGCTGCCAATGGCATGATATAACTGATGTCATATATATAAGGATTACATTTTTTTGGGTATGAGATGGAAATGTTTAATATGTCAAACAAAAAATGTATACAATATTTGGGATCATTTTAGATGAAAGCTTAATCTGAGCCACAGTATTTAATGATAAACTTCTTTCAGTTTGATTTACTATTGTGTTGGTTATTTGCTTTCTGTCATCACAAGGCAACTGATCCAGAAGAGGAGCAGACGAAGGGCCTCACTGTGGGAATCCTGACTGTGTTGGAGGATGATGATAGTTCAGGTCCTGCAAGTGTCATAAACGTCGCTGTGACTGTAGAAGAAGCCATCGTCCTTCAGGATCTCCCTGACCTGCTGATAGCTTTTGCATACCTTTTTGGGCTGATCTACGTTTTGAACCTCCAGTACCCAAAAGAACTGAGGTGACACTTTTGAAACCATTCAAGAAGGTTTTCATGGAACTGGGAACAGATTTCTCTGCAAGGGTGGCATCCTCCAAAAACAAACCTCTTCAGTGAATCCACCGCAAGTTAACTGAGCAAACATTGGTAAATTCTGAGACAGTTGTGAATTGCATGTTCTTGTTGCTATTTGCCAGAGATGAATCTTCTACATCTTGTACTTTTACTCTCTTCCCCTTTTCTCTCTTTTTCTCAAGTTCCCTCTCTCGACCTCTCTTCTCTCCCCCTTTCCCCTCTCTTCTCTCATTTCTTTCCATCTGATCTCCTCTCATTGTCACCCAACTTGTCTAACTTTCTTTCTTCTTACTCAATTCACTTTCTCCAATTCTCACTCAAATTGTGACCTGCAAAAGTCCTGTTAATTAAACTGTTATTTTAAATCTGTCTTTCTGCTATTTACAAACTCTTAACATCTAACTTCTTTTCTTTCTGACTTCATCACTGCCCATTTCTTAAAATGCATGTTCCAGAATACTCTCACACTTATTCTGCACCTTTTTGGATTTTCGTGGATTTCCACTTGTACAGTTTAGTTTTTTAGTTTTAGTCA